GGCTATTGCTACCAAACAATGTAGCAGTAGCGTAATGGAAGATGAAAAATACAAAGCTAGTCATTTGTAACATCCAATTGTTGCCGACGACCATGAATGCACACACCATATGCAAATAATTTGTTGTAGCACCTCCAAAGCTCTCACCCCGACGCCTTTTGTTGCAATCTAACGGAATAGGTATGTTTAAATCCAGTAGTTCCAAAGCAGATTAGTTTGGACATCTTCATTTTGGACCTGCATTACTCCAGAAGCAGAGTTGCCTCAATGGGTATTCAAATGGATCTTCAATGGGGACTATACATATAGTTGATGAATGCAGCAAGGTGGCAGTACTGTGTGCTTGAGATATGAGTATAATATAGTGTTCTCTCATCTCTAGATTGAGCATGCGCGCACACTAATACCACTGGACAATGATAAATTACTATACTGTACTAATATTCAAGCAGCCGTTTTTGTAGCATGTCATATCTTCTAACTATGTGCACCTATTGTAGTAGCATGTCATGTGAAACCACCAGGCTGCTCATATGTGCAGCCTTATCCATGAGGTTTGATTGTGTTTGTGTCCACTTAGCATAATGTTGTTACTGGCACATGAAAATTGATAAAAACTGGAGGTTCTTGAGTACTTGGGTGTTAATAGCACTCCATACTGATGCCTTAATAATCTGAGCCTAACTCTGGAACCTGCACAATGTAGCAAACTTGTTAGGAGGAAAGAATCTGCTCCCAGGTTCTTGTGTGTTCTGGGAGCAGTGATGAAGTTTGGGTAGTGATTGATTGAAGAATGGTGTGGATGATGTCTGGTTGGTATATTGTTGTTGTATGCCGTCAAACCATCCCCAGATTGAGCATTAAGCCATGCTAATACCACTGGGAAGTGATACGATAGCACACAGATGATTGGTACCTTCATAGTGAAACATGAAACGTAAGGTGATGTGCTGAAACAGTAAACCTTGATCTTCATGTGCCCTGCTTTGCTGATGATGTATTTAAAGAAGTATACTATCATTTCTATCCCCATTGAATAATTATGTGTTTGTGCTGACTCATTGATGAATTACCGAATGTTTCCATCTCGGTAATCCCTTTAACCTTTTGAAATAGCCATCGCAGTCAGATAGTTGAACAACAACAGCCAAAATGATGTAACAACAGTACACTAAGAGTGCATCTCCATATCGAAATCAAGCTGCTGAACTGTTTTCCAACTGAGTAGAAAACATAAAACTTCCAGGTGAATGCATGTAATTTATGGAATTACAGCAGAAAACATGTAACTTCCAGATGAGTTACACTTTGAAGAAGCTTTGTGACCTGATATTGCATTTCCTCTATGCACCACTCAATTTGATGTGTACACTGTAAGCAGTACAATTTTACTAGCACTGCAACACTTTGTCCACCCTTGCTTTCATGTGATTCTCCTTACACCATTAGACCACCCCCCAGACTGAGCATGTTAACATGCTAATACCACTGGGAGGCAGTCTAACTGTGCATAGATAACCAGCAGCAACAAACAGACCATGTTACAATTTGAATCCTCCTGAATAACAGCAGTACTTTACCTTTGATAAGCTTTGTTGGCCAATATTACATTGGCAGATCACTGGCCATCTCGATCTAGGCCTTTTTCTCTTACCTGTTTTGTGATTAACATACAACAAGAAATGCACCTTTGAAGTGTGCACTGTTTGTATTAATCTCTGTTAGCTTTTGAATAACTACAACTATGTGTTGAAGCTAAATTATCTATTCACCCTCAGACAACCCCCATCATGATCATGTTCTGTTAATACCACTTGGAATTACAGCCTAGTGTACTATCAGAAACTTTTGCACATCAATCTGGGAATTTTCTTTTAGCAATTTTAACCCTTAGATTTGGTATTTGTGACTTTTTCATGTTTATTAATCTCCTCCCTGCTGTAGGTAGATATGAGAAATAGTGAAAATGTGTTGTCCCTGCAAAACAAAAAGCAATGTTAGCTATGTAATCTGCTAAAGTATTTCCTTCTCTGTAAACATGTTGAAAGATGACATTGAAATGATCCTTCAACTCCTGAATCTTCTGCACTTCTGCCATTATACACCAAGGTGGATCACATTCCCTTTTGATAATCTTCTTTAACAGCAAGCAGTCTGTCTCTAATATTAGTGGATGAAGGCTGTTGGCAGAACAGTATTCCAGCCCATGTAGTATAGCTTTTGCTTTAGCTGCCACATTAGTGGTTTCATCTAGGTTCACTGATCTTGCATATATTAGATCACCTGCATGATCTCTTACACAAAAGCCAAGTGAGTTAGGTCCAGGGTTCCCTTTTGAAGCACCATCAGTATTACACTTATACCACCTTTCATGAGAGAGCTGCCAAGTAACTTTCCTGGTGATTAGAATTGGCTTGTATGCTTCAAAAAATTGGATCATTTCTGGCCATAACACAGGTATATGAGATAGCCATGGAAACTTAATACTTGCCAAGTTGTGGAGTGTATTGTTTACTTCATGAATGACTATGTTTGTAGAAACTGTTATTCCACTCCTGCTTGCGTTCCTCTTTTTCCATAGCTCCCAAGTAATGATTGCTGGAGCTGCCTAAAATAATGGTTTTAACTTTGGACAACAATCTATGTTCCACCATGCCCTTATCACTTGCTTAACTTGTATTAATGGTACAGAATTCCCTGCAGCTCCTAGAAAGTGTTGCCACACCTTTGATGTTGTATGGCTCGTCAAGAAAATATGCTCAAATGTTTCATCAGTTAGATGTTTACAACACCAACATCTTAAAACAACTATATATCCTTGCCTTCTCCACAAATCATCTGTAGACAACTTGTGCCTCCAAAGTCTCCATAGAAAGAATGATATATTGAATGGCAGACCTTTAATCCACATTTGTTTGAATTCTTGACAAATATTTGCTTTATGTCTCTGAATTTCCCATGCACTCTTGATAGAAAACTTTCCTGATGCTGTCGGCATCCAGTGGGGTATGTCCCAGGCTTCCTGATTATCATTATAATAGATATTGAGTTTGATATGGTTAGCAATATCTGTTGGAACAGTCTGGTCAAGTATTTGAACATTTCATTCTCCTCCATGTCTCAGTTGTGTTACTTCTTCCAGGTTCTCATTAATAGGGAATTCAGGAGGTAGTACATCATAGAGTGCCCCCAAACCAGTCCAGTTTTCATGCCATACACTTGTTGTTCCGCTCTTCATCTCCCACAGGATTACATGCTTGACTTCTTCCCTAGCATGCAACATTTACCTCCACACATGAGATCCATCTCTAAATTGTACCATAGTAGGTAACTCCTTTTTGCAATACTTATTCCATATGAAGTTTGACCACAAGGATTTGTTAGTCCTAAACCTCCACCATAGCTTAGCGAATAGAGCTTTTGATACATCCTTTAAAGATCTGAATCCTAGTCCCCCTTATTCTTTGGGAAGACATAAGCTTTGCCAAGATGCCCAATGCCTACTCCTCCCTTCCTCCTTAGTGCTCCAAAAGAATCTTGCAAAGATTTTCTGTAAATGTTCTAGTATATTGTTGGGAGGGTCAAGAAGTGAAAAAAGATGTAGAGGCATACTTTGTAGTATGCTTGTAATGAGAGTGGCCTTTCCTCCAAAGGATAAGAGTTAGCATTTCCAAGAGTGTAGCTTGGTCTTCACTTTTTTAACAAGATCATCATAATAGTCCTTCCTTCTCTTAGTATAAAAAATGGGGCAACCTAGGTATGTGAAAGGAAATTGTCCTCTAGTGAAACCTGTAATATCAGCCACTTCCTGGAATAGGGCATTTGCAACATTGGCATGCATGTAATAGAAACTCTTGGATTTATTGATTAGTAATCCCGACATCTGCTCATAACCTCCTAACATTGTCATTGTCTTCTTCAGGGAGTAAGGATTAGCTGATGCAAAAATAATAGTATCATCGGCATATGCCAAGAGGTTTAACGGATCCGACCACTTGGGCATACCAAAGCCAACAAAAGACTTATCTTCAAATAGTTTGTTCAAAGTTCTAGACAATACTTCAGCTGACAGAGTAAATAAAGTCGAAGACAAAGGATCTCCTTATTTTACTCCCCTTGCTGACTTGAAAAAACCTGAGGAATGCGCATTAACTAAAACTGAATACCAGTTGTTGGCTAATAGGTTCCCCACCATGATGATGAAGTGTTCTGCAAAACCCATTTTTCTGAGATTATGCATCAGATATTTCCAGGAAACCCTGTCATATGCCTTTGTCATGTCCAGTTTTAGCACCACATTTGCAGGCTTGCCTCTCATCCTTATGTCAGTGACAATTTCTTGTGTGAGTAGGATGTTCTCGTAGATGCTCCTTCCTTTCACAAAACCAGATTGATCAGGGGAGATGTAAGTAGGCAGGAACATTGCCAGTCTATCATGTATGAACCTAGAGATCACTTTATTGATGAAATTGCTCAAACTTATAGGCCTTAGGTCAGAAAATGTCTGAACTTGTGGTTTCTTTGGCAGTAGGACCAAATTTGTATGGGTAATGGATTTTGGCAAAGTTGCACCTCCATAGAAATTTAGGACCATATTGTGAATGTCATGACATATCACCTCCCAGGTGGCTTGATAAAAAATGCACGTGAATCCGTCTGGACTACTTGCACTATCACCACTCAGGTTGAAAACTGCAGCCTTAAATTCATCAATAGTTGGATACCTACATAACTCCATGTTCTCCTCCATCGAAACTATTTCAGGAACATGTTCCAACATAGAGAAGTCTGTAGGATCCTCTTCTTTTGTGAACTGTTTTTGGAAGAATTGAACTGCAGGCATTGGCAATTTGTTCTTGATTTTCTAACCAGTTTCCATCTTCATTCTGGGTTCTTTTCAGTTGTAATTTCTTCCTCCTTCCATTGACATGATTGTGAAAGAAACGAGTATTCCTATCACCTTCAGTAAACCATGTCATTCCTGCTTTTTGCTTCCAGTATTACTCTTCTATACTGAGGTACTTCTTCATTTCTGATTGACATTTCTGAAGGACGATTCTATTCTCAATTGTAGGCTCATCTTCAAACAACTGCTCCTTAATTTTGACAATATCCTCTAGCATTGCTATTTGTTTGAAAATGGCTCCAAAAATATCTCTGCTCCACTTAGATATTTCCACCTTGACCTTCTTCAGTTTGTTCTTGAACATGAGGAAAGGATCTCCAATGAAATCAACATTCTAGTTCTATGTCACTACATCCATGAATGTAGCATGTTTTTTTTCCAGAAATTTAGGAATCTGAACGGCTTGACAAAGTTAGTATTGTGCTCTTCACAGGTCATCAGGAGTGGGGCATGATCTGAACCAGTTTTAATCAAATGTTCCACTTCAATTGATGGAAGAATGTTTTGAAACGGTAAATTCAAAAAGATCCTGTCCAGTCTTTTGAATATACACTCACTATTAGGTCTCCTATTCCACCAAGTGTATGGACTTCCTTTGTAATCTTGATCAAATAGTCCACATGAGTTAATGCATGCTGCGAAATCCTCATATTCTGGAGGATGAACAGGCAGGCCCCCTATCTTCTCACTTTCATGTAAAAGCACATTGAAATCTCCTCCTACTAGCCACGGTAGTTCCATATCACTTGCCATGTAATATAGACTATCCCATAGTTCTATTCTATCTGTTGATGAACACTTTGCATATACAAAAGTCATCATGATATGCTGCCCAATGTCATGGTAAAATAGTTTTACTGTAACTTGTTGATCAGTCTCCATAATCTATTCCCACTCTGTGACAGAACTGAAGAATAACCATATTTTTCCATTCAAATTTGAAAAAGCAGTTTCCATATCTAGCCTTCTTCTATACCTCTGTATGTACCTTGCATTTTGAAAAGGTTCCATTAAGGCTATGACGAAGAAATTATGCTCTCTTTGCATATTGATCACCCTGGGAAAGGCCTGCTGTGTGTTAACGGATCTAATATTCCAAATTAATGTCTTAATCATCATTTAGAATGCGAGGCTTCCCTTCTTGGCAAGATTCTTATTGGTTGGTGTGCAGCTTTGTTTTGAGTCTGCTTCTTTGTTTTTCCCCTCATTTTGCACTGTTTCTAGGAGATAAATCAGCCTCTCTTGCTACTTGTTTAAAATTCCCCGCAGTCGACTCATCATCTCCTTCCTCTTCGATTTGGTGTTGCTCCATCAAGGCTAGCTCCACAGTTGCCACATTGTGAGTAACTAGATCATTCAAGGTCTGCATTGGTGATTTCAAAGGAACATTGAGTTGCAGCTGCATACTCTGATCTGTGACTGAAGTACAAGCAATTTGCATTGAGTCTACAGCTGAAACGGTCTTTATTGCAATAGCCTTCTCTTTAATCACCCCAGGTTGCTGCTCCAAATCACCTACTGTCTGAAGCATCATGTTGGTTCGAACTTTATCTCCCTCTGAGTCAACATTATGGCCATCTTCAGATTCAAGATGAAAGTGAACCTCATCCTCAGAATGCATGGTCAGAAATTCATGTTCCTCAAGAGCAGGAGTGGAGATCTTGTTGAATTGACATAGTTCTGTTAGAGGCAATGGTGTTGAAAGTTCCACTGTATGTGCTGCCCGAGGCATAAGTGAGGGTGTATCATGTACCATTGCACCTACAATTGCAGAGTTTGGTGCTGGTGTTACAGATGGATCAGTTCCTACCTTCATGGCAAGATGTGTAGTAGTTACATGTGTCCCAGATCGAGCTGTATTTTAAGTAGATGCAGAGGGATTTTCTGTAATTACTCTCTTTCTGGCAGACTTAGAAGTGAATACTGCAGGTGACACTGTGCTCAGTTTCTGATTTGCAGGTGCTACAGATGACAGTATGTCAACTTCATTATCATGAGAAGTTTCTGAGTTCTTTTCCATAGATAGATCAGTAATTGTTCCAGCTTCGATAGCCCGTTCAGTTGCTTCCTTTTGCTTTTTTAGCTGTTTCCTCTTCTTTTGGCTAGGATTAGATTTAGATGGTGAAGTACTTGGATGTGCCCCCCTAGAATCATTTCCACGATTAACTGTACTCCTGTGATCCTTATCATTAAAACTGGAGGTCTGTCCATGTTCAATTTCTGTATTGTTCTGTATGTTAATCTCACTGCTAGTCGCAGGTAGGTAATAGTCATTCCCTTTAGGCCCTTCTGTAGGATTATTCAGAGCAATCCCCTTTCCTCCCTGAATCGTGGTATCACATGATGATACAATCTCCACAATCTCCAGTGAAGTAGAGGTGATCACTGGTGGATGGTTCTCAGTAGTTGTGTTCATAGCTTGGTTGTTTTTCTGCAGTTTTCCCTTTGAGCTAACACCTCTGAAATTCTTCCTTTTTTGTTCTTGCCATTGGTCCTTAGAATGGTTATTCTTTGTTGTTTGATGTGTTGCTACTGTCTGAATAGTTTCTTGATTGTGCTCCTTCATTTGATCCTGAGTTTCCTATTTTTGTGTCAAGTTCTGTTGCTTGTCCTGCATTTGTAAGATCTAAACCTGTGTTTACTGCATGCTTGTGCTTCTTACATTGTTGAAGATGCTTTGGTTGTCCTGTTTACCTGATGCTTCAGCAACATCCTGTTTCTTACCCTCCTCCTCTTTTTTTTTTGTTGGGCATTGTTGCATCGAGTGCCCCAGATGTTTGCATTGTAGACAGTAATTAGGCAAATACTCATATTCTACTTCAATCCATTGGCCATCTCCATTCTCATCCTGCTCTTCATCAAATCCAAGCCAGACATAGTGAGGTCTTGATTTTGTCAAATCTATCTGCATCTTCACCTTTGCAGCACTCCCCCTAGTCTTCTGCATGGATGCAACATCCAGGTGTAGTACTTTACCAATCGGAGATAACAACACTGTAAAAACCTCCATGTAATATAAATGCCATGGTAATTCTGGTACTATCACCCAGGTAGGTATCACAGGAGAATCTTCATTAGCCTTAAAAGTAGGAGTCCATGTTTGGAGCTGCATTCTTTGACCCTGTATAAACATGAATTATTTTGTCCAGACAGTGGTGTAATCGTACTCATTGTCGAGGTCAATGTAGACAGTTCTAGCATTGAAATGAGAAATTTTGACTCCTTCTTTTAGTTCAGTTTGTGCAATAAAGCTTTTCCTGATTTGTTCCATTCTTGGCATGGAGTTCAGGAACTTGCCTATGATGGTGTAATGGCATCTGCTGGCCAAGGTAATCATGTAATCTTTTCTGGCGAATATAACTGCTGGTTGGCCTTGTTTGGTGGTGATCTTTGGAGATGTGAAATAGATAGGGGTTGTCTCTGCTGCTTGTTTAGCTCTTAATTTGGTCGCTAGTGAATGCATAACAGTATGAGGTGGTGGTGCAGTGTTGCTGGTTGGTTTTTTGATATCTTTAGGTGCTGAGTTAGAATTGGGATTTCCTTGGTGATAGTGTACTGCTGTTTTTTGGTGGGCATTGTGTTTGTCAAAGTTGGACGATATTTTGGGGAAATTGTTTATGCTAGGCGCTTTAGTAACTGGGATAGTATTTGGTGAAGTTTTGATTTCCTGGTTGTTCTGAACATTCCCATAGGTCTCAATATTAGGTGAGGTGTTACCTGGGGCTAAAGGAGCAGCTGTTTAGTTGACTACCAGTGCATCTGTAACTGGGAGTCTTGTGTCTGTTGGATGTTGCTGTTGTTGCACTGGTGTACAAATGTTGTGACTGTTCTTGTTGGTTACATATCGCTACTGCATTTGATTTGCATTAGACTTATCAGGTAGTTCATTATGCCCTGCTAATATTACAGCTTTTGGAGTGGGCACAAAATGAGCGCAATCTTTTGTTGGTTCTCTGTGTGAATTTCCTTGACGACTACCTTCAACCTTATATTGGGAAGCATGTACATCAATTTGCTCAGTCAAATTATTGATACAATTGCTGTGGTATTTTGTCGAACAGTTGGTACTTGTGAATCTGCAGAATTACTTTTTTGCATTATTGAAATATTCTGTTCATCTACCTTCCCTTTGGGCACTTCAGTAACAATCCCTGCATTATTACCAAACAATTTGTATTGACATTGGACATTTTCTGATTCTCGGATTACATGTGCACCTACTTTGTGCTCTGCTGGGCAGTTCATTCGAGCTTGCTTGACAGTTCCGATGATGGAAAGATTCATATTGTGGTGAGGAGTTTGATATGGAGCTGAAGATGATTCTCCAATGTTTGGAATGGCTCGATTAAACCCATAATTGATAGAGGTAGTGTCTTATGAGCCCAGGAGATTTTTCGCCTCAATGAGGATTGTTTCATTTTGCAAATCTTTATTTGCCGGTTTGTTGAATCTTCATTCTTGACCTTGCGTATCATCTCCATTGATTTGAATTTTCATAATTGATCCAGTCTTGACCTGGTGATTATCGCTTGAACCCAATCGCGTAGGAGCTACAGTGGTCGCGTCAGGTTTTTCAGGGATTGCAGCAACTGGGGAGCATTTTTGTAATGAAATTAATTGGGTAGGATGCTCAGCATCTATGGGGTTATTTTGTGATAGGTCCGGTGGTTTTAAGCCACCGGATATTGGAACGGATGCCATAAAGGCACTGTAATAACACTGTAGAAGACAATCGCCTTTGCTAGAGAGAAAATCGACGGTTTTGGGTTTGGGGTTTTTGGGTTTGTCAGTGTGAGATTCATTTGAAGGTCCATGGTTATGGATAAATTTTGTGGAGAAAGTATATAAAGGAGTGAATAAGCCTCTAAAATTAGCGTTTGAAATTTTTAAGTACTGAAACTTATCCACAACCAAATACAATGATACATGAGATAAAATTGATGACTAAAATGCAAATATACTGATTCGAACTTATTTACATGGGCCCATGCGGTTGATTGGTTTTTTCTTCTTTTAGAAAACCTGATTAGTTGCTCTATCTAGGTTGGCTTGATATTGCATTGGTTAATAATTAATTAATGGAGTATTAGTTGGGTATGATTAAAGGCTTACACTGAGACTTTTGGCAGTTCAAACGTTAGCAGATATGGGCTTGGAGTGAAGCCCAGGACGCCTCAAACCCTTGGACGGGTCTACCTGCTCACATGATAAGGCAGACTTTCAAACGGGCCTGAAGTTGGGCCCAGATACCTGCATAGCTCGGAGTCCACTTGACTTCAAATTGATGAGATAACTTTGTTTGGGCCAGCTAACCAGGTCCAATAATTTCTAAACATTCACTGAGTCTTTCTACATGATTCTCATACACCGCAGGAACACTGAGACTAATTACAGACTCATTCAATCACTAATACATGGTCATTCAAATTTACATCACAATACTAAAATCATAATCTAAATTTTGTTTACACTAATACCACTTCTATGCACTAAAACTCTCCCTTTCTGGAATTAGACTATGCTACAATGCATGGAGTCCAGACATTTGGCGTGTAACTCCTCATGCATGGGATTTCAACTTGGACTTAACACTTAAGTTCCATCCTCATACATTAAACGTGTCAACAGTAAGTAGATTCAAACTAAATCCTCATGAACTCACTAAATGCATGACTAACAGTTTGAACATGAAGATATTTCAGTTACTAACATGCTTAATGAGAACAAAACACTATTAGTAGTAGCTAACTAATTAACGAGTAATTCCAATTTAGAATATTCAGCTCAAACAAACAATCATAATCAAACACTAATAGAGAAAACAGAGGTGAACATATATGGTGACCAAACTTGAGGATGGAGATGGAAGCTCAACTTTTCATTTTTACACTCAAAAGAGAATTACAGATGGAATTTTAACATACCTAACAATAAGAAATAACAGCAAGTAACCAAATAAATGTCTACAGATAGAGATGGAAGCTCAACTACTAAGCAGTAAGTTTAATAGTAGAAAATCAACACACAACTTTAGTTTCAAATCCAAACATCAACTTAAAAAACCAGAAATTAACTGAAGCAACTCAACAGAACTTAGAATCACTTTTGAAATCCTTTCTCTTTTTTTTTTTTTTTTTGTTTTGATTTTTTGTAGCTTTTGAATTTTCAGATCTGGAATTTTGAATTCCATAGGTTTCAATTATTTTTGTGCGTTTCTAGATGCGTGTATGAGTGTGTATTGTGTGAGTGAGGGTGAATAAATGTCAGTGAATAAGAAATGTGTGAGGGAGTGTCCTTTTTTATAACTGGTTCCAAGGCATGCTTTTCAATTGTTTCTTTTCTTTAAAACCCCTTTTCTTTTTCTGTTTTGTTCTTATAGTCCCCAAGTACCCGACCCATTTTCTTTCTTTTATTTGTTGATCAGACCTTTTATACCTTCTAGAAACTTCACAAACAGTTATAAGATTATTCCCTAAATTAATTTTCCTACGCTACCCTTTTACAACCCTATATTTACTATCAATAGGCTCATGACTCCTGATTTGCCCTACCCATTAAACTTCTAAACTTAACCAACCAGGCTATCCACAAGATAGGCCCATTTCACAAAACCAATTCAATCTAAAACACATAGTTAATCAATCAAGCCAATTTCAAATTTAAATTGAAAAATTAAAACAAACAACATTTTAAAAGTCAAAGTTTAAAATGCAACTAAACTAGCTGTCATGTACTGAGCCATTTTTTAGACATACCACCTAATTATCATGTAAACAACAGTTGACAACCAATTTAAAATTAAACAGTGGATTATTAACCAATTAACTAAATAAAAGAAAATGAAGAACAAGAGGAAGAGATTAGCATCTCAGAGCTGCACTTGAAAAGAGCAAACAAAATCCGACCAACAGGAGTCAGTGCTCCACGACTACAGGTTCAAGCGTAGAAGCCTATCCTGTGATGCATGGAACACTATCTCCTGCAAGCTGGAAGAAAAAATGGGAAAGCTAGGTGGGTCTGGGTTGGTCAACGACGGTTGACTAATCTCGAGCAGCCGTGTAGCGGCATAAATCTAACATCAATCGATAGCTCTCATCGAGAGCAGTCGATTGATGTAAGTTACAACGCAAAACAGGCAAAAATTGGGGAAAAATATCAAAATGAGACAGATTAGGGTTTTGGGCATTTCCTAGATCTACTAGACGTGGAGATATAGTGATTTCTTAGGGAATTGGGGGGGGGGGGGGGGGGAGGGGGTTGGTTCTGTTAGGAAAATTATAAGGGAATGAATTCTAAACTGTTGGATTGACATTGATGAAATATGGATAACATTTGGACCCAAAACGCCGTCGTTTGGTTTAATGAAAAGGCTGGACCGGGTTAAAGCGGGTCTGGGCTGATGTTATAGACAACTAGGCCGTTTGGCCTAGCAGACGGTTCCTTCAATTTCTTGCCTTTGTTTTGTTTAAGAAGAATTAACCTAAATAGCAGCCCACCCAATCACTTAAACTAAAAATAGCCGACGGAGATATAATATATGCATAATCTATGTATTATATATGTATAATTATGTATAATCAATGTATAAATTATGTATATGACTAGCAAAAGTAAACAATGAATATGACCGGCTATTTGTGTAAAGATCTCTTTGTTTAAATGGCCACTCTTAATTAAATCCTAGATCAAATCTAATTTACAAATTTAACCTATTTTGATTGATGTAACAATTAAACTAATTAAAATATTTGAATTAATAATTTGACTAACTAATTGAAACTACAAAAATAAAAATAAAATAAATAAAAATAGCTAAATGCATTTTGTGATTTTTGTATTTTATAACTGCAACTAACATGCAACTAAATGCTAGCAATGCAATTAAAATATAAAAATGTAATGAATAAAAGATACAAAATATTTTTTGATCCTTTTTATGATTTTAATGTGTTTCTAATATGCATAAAATTACAAATAAATGACAAATAAATTAAACAAAAATAGAATTAAATTCCTAAAATTCTATAGAGGTAATTAAAACAATTCTCGACTATTTTTGGAGCGTTTTAAGTGTAGGGCAAAAATTATGTGCACACAGCTGCCCCTCTTTGATCGGCAACATGAAGAATTTTCGGGCAAAGATAAAGTGAGAAATTATGAATAATTTTTGCCCGTTTGATACTCCATGGGAGGCATTTTAAAAAAATTTGACCGAACCTTGCTTCAGAGGTTGCCTACATATCCTGGGATATAAAGGAATCAGATCAGTGTAGTTTTGGAAGTTTTGGTAGCTGGGATTACCGAGAAGCTGTGATTTCACTGTTGTTGCTGATGTTACTGCTTGGTGAGCTCCTTATTACACCAAAATCAACATCAAAAGAAACTAAACATGCCTATCAACTATGAGTAACAAAATTCCTAACTATAAGTCTTTTGAAGCTTGGTCTTGACTGGTACTTCGTGCATACTCTGATCTGAACCTTGATGCCTCTCAGCTGTATGTGCTAGTTCATTCTTTTATGGCTTCTGCACTTATCAAAATGGAGGATGTAATGCTCGTGACTTCAATCATGTCTTGAATAGTCCATGTCCTCTTTTATCTGCTTTCGCACCTCGAATTGGCTTCTTTTCTTTTCTTTTCTCTATTTTGGATTGAGATTTCTTCTTTTGGTCATCTCAAACCTTGTTCTTTGAAGTAAAACATGCTTAGACATCAAAACAAACCAACAAACGAGATTTTATGCCCAAGTTTTGTACTAGAAAAATTTCGTGATTTATTGTAACCAAAATTCTACACTACTTCTTTATTGAAGGCAATAAAATGTCGGGAATGGTGTATCATGAGAAAATTATGATTCTTTGGGGATGGTTTACCTTTATTGTCAAAATGATGGCTCGACTAAGGATCGGTGTACCTTTTGTCGGAAAAAGTGCAACTAGGGAAGGAATGATATACCCTATATTGGCAATGGAATCAGGGAATGGTGTACCCTGCATTTAAGGTCAATCAACTAGGGAGTGGTGTACCCTACGTTAGAAAATACAGCTAGGGATTGGTGTACCCCATACTGATAAAGAGACTAGGGAGTGGTGTATCCTATATTAGCAATGATATCAGGGAGTGGTGTACCTTGCATTTAAGATTATCAACTAGGGAGTGGTGTACCCTACGTTGGAAAATACAGCCAGTGATTGGTGTACCCTATATTGGTAAAGATGCTAGGGAGTGGTGTACCCTATATTAGCAATGAGATCAGGGAATGGTGTACCCTGCATTTAAGTTCATCAACTAAGGAGTGGTATACCCTTGGAAAACATAGTTAGGGATTGGTGTACCCTATACTGGTAAATGAGACTAGGGAATAATGTACCTTATCTTGGAAATAAGATCAAGGAATGGTGTACCCTGTATTTAAGATCAATCAACTTAGGAGTGATGTACCCTACGTTGGAAACACAACTAGGGATTGGTATACCCTATACTGGTAAAAAGACTAGGGAGTGGTGTACCCTACATTTAAGATCAATCAACTAGGGAGTGGTGTACCCTCTGTTGGAAAACACACCTAGGGATTAATGTACCCTATACTAGTAAGGAGACAAGAGAGTAGTGTACCCTATATTAGCAAGGATATCAGGGAGTGGTATACCCCGCATTTAAGATCAATCAACTAGGGAGTGGTGTACCCTCTGTTGGAAAACACACCTAGGGATTAATGTACCCTATACTAGTAAGGAGACAAGAGAGTAGTGTACCCTATATTAGCAAGGATATCAGGGAGTGGTATACCCCGCATTTAAGATCAATCAACTAGGGAGTGTTGTACCCTATGTTAGAAATACAAATAGGGATTGGTGTACCCTATACTAGTAAAAAGACAAGGGAGTGGTGTACCCTATATCTAAAATCATCAACTAGGGAATGGTGTACCCTACGTTGGAAAACACAGCTAGGGATTGGTGTACCCTATACTGGAAAAGAGACTAGAGAGTGGTGTACCCTATGTATAAAAAATATCATCTAGGGAGTGGTGTACCATATGTTGAAAAATGCAGCTAGGGAATAGTGTACCCTATACTAGCATGATTTTGAATGCATTTAAAATATGAGCAAAATGTGGGAAAGAATTTTAAGAAGACATCCCCTTTTGCGAGTTTTTGTGTTACAGAGCTATTCTTAATCTCCGCACGATTTCCTTTTGGTGATACCTGCTTTTGCAAGGTTGTTTTTCTGCATTGCGCATGTTTCCTATTTTTCAACAAAGAACAATTATTAGTTTAAAATGGTGGTTGGTTTTGTGGCCTTGAATGCTTCGACGCTTGATCTCAACCCATCTTCTTTGGATGATGATTTCAACTGCAATTAGTTGTTTCCTGAATACCAATTGCATTTCTGGCCTTGGAGAGTCTTTGGCTTTTCAAACTTTTGCCACGACGGTTAGTCGCGCAACGGAACTTAACCTTTTCAATTTTAGAGCATCTGCCAATCATGGCCAGTTGGGGTCGACTTGATGCCTTTGTCGAGGCTGGGTGCCTATGAATATATCAGCTCGTATCAAATGAGAGCCCTATAATCGGTCTTGCTATCTTTTCTTTTCCTTAATCTCATAATAGAGCTAGACCAAAAGGGATTCAAGGAAACTTTAATTGTACAGGTGAGTAAACAACTGGAGGAGAGTAAGAGTTTAAACAAGAGGCCTCCCTTTTGGGGAATGGAAAGAAGGACTTATCTGGGAGTATATGCGGACTTCAATAATTATGACATGCCTCTTGGACTGGAGACTTGATCCGCGTAAATTGTTCGACTTTCAGAAACTCATCACAACCCTTGTCCTGAAACTGAGAAACATTGCCCAAGACTGTGTTGATGCCATGACAGTGTGGCTACTCCTTTTTGATCAGTAGTGCCCTTTGCGGGTTTTCACTAGTCGATCTCTCTCATTTCTATTTAGTTTTCAGTAACACGACTCTCTCATTTTATTTTCTCTACTCACCGTCGCCCTATGGTGCACGTGAGAGTTTTCACCAATAAGACTCTCTTATTTTATTTCTCTCATTTTGGTTGCATCAGATCCAAGTTCCCGTAGCCTCCGATTCTTGAACATTCTCAATGACTAGTTAGAAGGACTTGAAATGGATTTGGGTCAAAAGAATTTGGATTAAACTACAACTTTAGAAACTTTCGGGCTAAATCATCACCAGAATATCATAAAAGCTTCCCTAGTTTAGCTCTTTTGGGGAATGTGGATTTGTGTTTTGGTGTGACCGAACCCCAAAGTGAGGCTGCATACATATCATTTCGAAATTAGGTTGGACATAATTCAATAAACATGAACTTTGTTTTTTGATTTTTTTTGTTTTATTTCTTTTGCTTTTCTTTCTTTATCTTTTCAACAAGGTTCCGAAGAGGGTAATCAAAGAAAGTAACCGTCTCAAAGGGGTTTGTAAAAGGCTAGTAGTGTTTGGGTAGCACGAATGAAAGTCTTCGTCATCTCAATCCGCGAATGTCAGCACTGAGTAATGAGTCAAACATAGTACCTTTTGACCGCATCTGCATTGACAGTTGTCTCGGGGACATTTCCTTCGATGTATCCCAAATATAACACTCCGTTTGGCAAAACTCTTGTTACAATGGACCTTTTCAATTTGGAGCAAATTTTCCTTTAGCTTCTTCATAATGTGGGAGGATACATTTCAAAACGAGTTGTCCCATTTCAAACTTCTTGGGCCGCACTTTCTTGTTGTAGGCACATGCCATTCTTTGTTAGTACAAATGCCCGTGACAAATTGCGGCCAATCATTTTTCATCAATCAAGGTCAATTATTCCAATCGGGTCTTGGCCTATTCCTCATCCTCAATCTCATCTTCAACAATGCTCTGAAGTGAGGGAATTTTAACTTCTGTCGGTATCACGACTTCAGTGCCATTAACCAATAAGTAGGGGTGGCCCCTACTGATGTGCACACGATTGTGCTATATCCCGATAGTGCAAAAGGCAACTTTCATGCCTCTGCTTAGAACCTTGGACCATTTTTCGAAGAATCTTCTTGATATTCTTGTTAGCAGCTTCGACGACACTATTGGCTTTGTGCCGATAAGGGGTAGAGTTGCGATGCATAATTTTGAATTGCTCATATACCTCTCTCATCAAGTGGATGTTTAGGTTTGCGGCATTGTCCGAAATGATAGTTTTAGGAATACCAAAACGGCAAATGGTATTGGAATGCACAAAGTCTGCCACTGCTTTCTTGGTTACAAATTTGAAAGTGACCGCTTGTATCCATTTTGTGAAGTAATCGATGGCAACCAAGATGAATCTGTGGCCATTTGAAGCTTTTGTCTTAATCGGCTCAATAACATCCATGCCCCAGGTGACAAATGGCCAAGGCGCTGACATAGGATGCAACTCCGAAGGCGGCAAGTGAATCGGGTCAATGTGTATCTGACATTGATGACACGTGCGGACAAAGCTGAAACAATCCTTTTCCATGGTCATCCAATAATAACCTACTCGGAGTATATTCTTTGCAAGGACGTACCCATTCATATGGGGATCACATACCCCTATATGTACTTCGTTCATGATCCTCTCATCTTCTCGAGAATCCATACATCTCAACATATTCAAATCTGGAGTTCTTTTGTACAGGATTTCTCCACTCAGAAAGAAACTACTGGCAAGCCTTCTGATGGTTCTCTTTTGATCTCTGCTTGCTTGTTCGGGATATACTTTTTTTTTCAAAAACCTTTTGATATCGTGATACCATGGATCGCCACCCGACTCTATTTCAATTGCATTGCAATAACCATGCCATTCTCGGACTTGAATTTCCAATGGGCCAATATGAGTATTACCCGGGTACGGTAACATTGAAGCCAAAGTATCTAGTGCATTTGCTAAATAATTATGGAATCGAGGAATATATTTAAACTCAACGGACTTAAATTGTTTACCGAGGTCTTCCACATGTTGTCTATATTGTATTAGCTTGATGTCCCGAGTTTTCCATTCAACCCGAGCTTGTCGAATAATCAAGTCAGAATTTCCCATGATTAATAATTCTTGCACATCCAGATCAATCGCCATGTTCATGCACATTATACAAGCTTCATATTCAGCAGTATTGTTCGTACAAAAGAACCGAAGCCGGGCCATGGCCGGATAATGCTGACCAACAGGCAAAATGAGAATTGCCCCAATCCCTACACCTTTTGCGTTCACAACCCCATCAAAGAACATCTTCCAAGCATTGATGTTTTCTGGAACCACTTCAACTGAATTTACTTCCTCGTCCGGAAAGTAAGTGTTCAATGGCTAGTATTCATCATCAACTAGGTTTTCATCCATATGATCTGCCAAGACTTGGGCTTTCATTACCGTGCGAGTGACATAGACAAAGTCAAACTCAGTGAGCAAGATTTTCCACTTCGCTAATCTTCCAGTTGGCATCGGTTTCTGTAATATATATTTCAGGGGATCCATTCTGGTTATGAGGTAAGTTGTGTAAGCTAGCAAATAATGTCTTAGCTTCTGAGTAACCTAAGTTAGGGCGCAACAGGTCGTCTCCAACAGAGTGTACTTAACCTCGTAACTTGTGAACTTCTTGCTCAAATAATAGATTGCTTGTTCTCTCTTCCCGATCACATCATGTTGCCCCAGGACACAACAGAAAGAATTTTCCAAGACCGTCAAGTATAAGAACAAAGGTCTTCCTGGTTCGGGCGCAACTAACACAGGCGGATTTGATAGATATTCTTTGATCTTATCAAAAGCTTCTTGGCATTCATTCGTCCATTTAATTGCTGCATCTTTCTTTAACAGCTTGAATATGGGCTCACAAGTGGTAATGAGTTGAGAAATGAACCTGCTAATGTAATTCAATCTTCCAAGCATACTCATAACCTCCTTCTTGCTCTTCGGAGGCGATAATTTATATACATTGTCAATGTATATAAATTCAATCTTACTTTATGCCTGACTTATATCTCCTATATTCTTTTATAGTTACTTGATATATACCATTGGAACCTAATTTTATACGTTTAGTAGAGGTTGACTCGTTATAAGTGATTTCTGAATCTTGTTGGATTTTAACTGACTGTTTAGATGGAAAAAGGTTAACAAAGAAAAAGGAAAAGAAAACCTTAATATCAACGTTTTCATTCTTGGATGCTAATCTAATTAACTTTTTAAGGTTTGAGGTTCCCATTGAGAACAGATTTGCAAGATTTAGAATATTAATCTTAGGGATCAAAATAGGTTTTGACTAGTTGTAATTTTTCAGATTTATAACTCTCACTTCTCCTAAAATAACTCCTATTTTCTCCTTAAATACTTTACATTTTGTCTTAGAGACCTCCTTTCATTTTTAGAGGCCATAAAAATTTCCAAAAAGACTTAGAAAACACTTGCAAGTTAGTACCAAGAGCATCTGAAGAGTTTCTGGCACTACCCAAAGAGAGTATTGCCAAATTATTACGACCCAAAATACCACCAAGTCGTTATGACACCTAACATAACCCGTTAGGTAAGCCAAACAGAAATTAACATAACTCGAATGAAAGATTATCAATAATCAATAAATAAGATGGTTGAATTCCATATAATATCTCAAGGATTGGTAATACAGGTTATGAGTTACTAAGATTAAGAATACAACTCTAGTCCGAATAATAAATGCAACATTTATTTGAAGTTTACATAAACAGAAATATAAGTCCTACATTACCGTGAACAAGTGGTTGTTTACATCTGAAACACTGGTACATACTCAGTGCTAGCTTTCGTCATCCACATCAGGTCAGCTCCAAAATCTGCACGCAAGGTGCAGAAGTGTAGTATGAGTACAACCGACCTCATGTACTCAGTAAGTATCAAAACTAATCTCGGTGAAGTAGCGACGAGGTTTCAAGTCAAAAGATACTCACTTTACTTAACATGTGCAACCAAAAGC